AAAAAATTAAAAAAATAAAACATATAATATTAACATATGGTTTTCTGAGTCAATATGAGGCTCACAGGGATCCTTACGTGCATTTGAGTGGCCTGATTCATTTCCATTTGAATTTGACATCACTGCCTAAGACCATGTGAGTCTCCATTCCTTGATGACCTGTTGACCAGAGACATTTCCATAAGGAAACAAGGGGGAGGGAGGGCTACATCCAAAGACCCTCGGTGCTACTGTGTTCTTATTGCGTATGTCCTTGCTATGTTAGGGCAAAGTCAACCTCCTTTTGTAAATATTTAATGACTTACGAGGGCCTCATTTCATCCCCAAATAGAACCTGAACTAAGAGAGTGTTGGCATCAGAGCTGTGCCTCTTGGAACTCCTAGAACCTTGAGAACCCTTAGAGATTGTTCCTAGGAACCCAACTTGCCAACAAGAGTGGGCTTAAAATAAAGGCTCCTGGAGTTGATTGGGGCTATAGGAATGTGTTTCCTTTTGTAAATGCTAATTGGTAGGAATTGGCTAAATAAGATATCACTTAGCTTTAAAAGACCAAGGTCTTGGAGCAATTAGGTGGCAGTGGATAGAGCACCGGCCCTGAAGTCAAGAGGACCCGAGTTCAAATGCAGCCTCAGACCAAACACTTGACACTTACTTAGCTGTGTGACCCTGGGCAAGTCACTTAACCCCAATTGCCTCACTAAAAAAAAAAAGGAAAAAAAAAAAAGACCAAAGTCTTCCACTGTTATCTAGGGCCATCCCCAGTAGTCCTGATCTCACCACCGGACCCAGATGGCTCCAGAGGAGAAAGTGAGGCTGGTGACTTTGCACAGCCCTCCCTTATTTAAATCCAATTCATTTTCATGTCATGGCATCACCTCCCTGATATCAGGCTCCTCTTCAAGAATGAAGGATAAACAACAACTCACCGCCAATCATTGGCAATTATTTGGGGAGAAAATATATCAGAATAGAGGGTTGAGCCAAAAGTCTTAGAAAGACACCCCAACCCCTCAGAGTATGGCTTTGCTCAAATATGACTTTGTCCTGGGAACCTGGCTTAACAGGAGAGTGGGAAGCAGAATAAGGATGAGCGGGGGTCTACAGTCAGCTGTGCCCTTGAAGAACCTGATTTGTTAGCGGGACTGAGAGATGAGATAAGGAACCCCAGAACTTAGAAAGGTGACATGCGCCTTAAGTCCCCACAGGTGTGGCTACACTACAAGGGCTCCTATGCTTCTGGGCAGATACAAGATAATCCTCGATCTCATCCCACCTACACAAGCAATGCAGAAAACCCCAAAAAGACTACAAAAGCCTGCGGACAATCAAATCTATCCTCCTCCCTCTCAAGGACTCAGTGAGGCCTGTCTTCTACCCAGGCCCATCACAGGCCCCTAGACTCAGGGCAATACACTATTGTTCGAACTCCCCTCAGAAAGGCTGCTGAGGAGGCCACCTCCCCAAAGGCTTGTGAGCCCCACTTTACCCCCAGGGACCTGGTAAAGACTTCCAGCCTTAGAGTAGGTAAAGAGGCAGCTCCCTTCCCATGAAATCTGCACGGTCCAAATGACTCATGGTAAGAGCAGGGGCCAGATTCTAGGAAGATTGTGGCTTAGTCTCAGGGCACTTCAATCACTCAACAAGCTTTTATTAAATGCTTTCTACATGCCAGGAACTCGGGACACAAACACAAAAGTGATCAAGTGCTACACACAAAGAGCTTACATTCTCCTAGGCGGAGTACAACACATTCACAGAGAAGTGAATGCAGGATGTATACTAGAAAAATGCACATTTGGGGGCACAGGGGAGGGGACCAGGAGAGGCCTCAGAAGGGCGTGGTGTTGAGAGGAGCTGAGATTCCAAGAAGCATTTGTGAAATGGACTGAGACAGCCTGTGCAGAATGAGGTGGAGTCACATGGAAAGAGCCTCCGGCAGGCTTATTCAGAGGTAGTGCAGAGTAAGGAATCTCAATTGGGTCTGAGAATTTGTTTTGTATTTTCCATGATCGTGGGTTTCCTTGGGAACCCTATATTTTTATATTTTGCATTTAAAGACATGATTCTGAGAGGGGGTCCATAGACCTCACCAGACTGATTGCCACAGGGCTCCAGGAACCAAAAAGGTGAAGAACCCCTGGCCAAAAGCGCGTCAGGAGTAAGGTAGCCTAAGAGACAGGCTGGAGGCAAACCATAAACAGAAATGAGAGAGCCCCTGAAGCTTCTTGGACAGAGAAATGGCCCCCATTGACCTCCAGTGGGTGCAGGAGGGTGTGTGTGATCCCAAAGGCTGGTCTTTCCTGGGAACTCCCCCTTCTTTCCCCGGAGACTGGATTCGTGGATTCGCTGGGACAATACCAGGAAGCTGGTACTTCCCAGGAATTAAAAATTCTCTAGAAAATCTCTCCTCAGCCCCGCCCTCATCCAGAATTCGAGAGCTCCCTTCTTGGGCTGAGGGAGTGAAGGCACTGGAAACTGCCATTTGCCACAGCCCCAGGTCAACCGTGATCAGAATGTTTACAGGCACAGTCTCCCAGCCATCCTCCTCCCTGGGGCGCAGGATGAGTGCAGATCTGCTGCTTTTCCAGTGTTTTCTCGAAAAGGGGAAAAGGCTAGCTCTTAAGGTGATCCTCACTTTTATGTACCAGTGCAAAGACCTGGTTCCCACAGTCCAGCCAACCAGCTCATTTCCAGTTGATTCACAGCAGCCCAGGTCAATCACTTCGTCTTCCACTGATGACACCTGATCAAGCCCTCACACAGAGATAAGTAAATTTGTGAGTAATTTGAAGGGAGAAGGGGTAACAACCGGAAGAGATGGCTGGTGAGCTGAGCCCTGTCGACCATTTACCAAAGGTTTGGTCAAAAGAAACAAACAGAATCAGTTTCCCCCTTACCCGAAGGTTTGTCCAAAGAATAAACAGAATAGGGTTTACCTCAGGCTACACATGTGCTATAACCTGCTTATTTATCCTCATTAAGCCAGAGAATCACGCATGATGGAGTCAGAAAATAATTCTGAACTCAGAGGTAAACAAGCTGAAGGAAATCCTTTATACACTTAGAGCAGTCCCAACTCAGGATGCCTGTGTCAACCAAAATTATAGTCTCCATATGTGTTAACCATAATATGAGAAAGGAATATTCTTAATAGGATAGAGTATAAATACAATAAGATAAGAGAAATGTCAAAGTGTCTTTTGAAATTATAGATCCAGGATGTCTGTGTTTCATTTTGTTTTGTTTTTTTTTTATCATTAACGTGACATAGCATAACATAAGAAAATGTAAGAAAAGTCCCACTATTCAAGATAGTGTCCGGTTCGACGCATCCTGCCCTGGACAGTCACAAACAGAAGAATGCTCCCAGTCAGCTTCATCTGGCCTTGTAGTTGCTGACACAGGAAGGGGCATTTTGGGTTCACTCAGAGAGCAAAGCAAACCATGTCTGTTATGCTGGAGCAGGCAAGGCATTATGGTAGGTTAAGCTCAGAGTGGACCAAAATGTCTTTCTCCTGATTGGCCGATTCAGGCCTTTCTCAGGCGATTGGGAGGGTGGGGAGGCTCAGTATGGCTTGAGGAGGCCCCTGGCTGGTTCACAGCCTTGCAAAGGATCAAGACATTGAGAAGCAGAGATGTGGAGGGAGAACACTGTAAGCAACCAACACAAGGAGGCAGGAGATCAAATGTCAGGTCTGAAGGACAGCTTAGTAAGCTGGATGGGTTGCAGTATCAAGTCTACAAAAAGGAAGAGTTCTATGACATAAAGCCAGAGGATAGGTTGGAGCAGGCCTGGGAAGGGCTTTAAATGACAAGCCACAGAGTTCAGATTTTATCCCAGAGGTAATAGGTAGCCACTGGAGATTCTTGAGTAGGGGAATAACAGGGCACCTGGCACAGGTTATAACTGGCCTGTGTCTGAAGAAGGTGACTGTGAGGGGCAGCTGGGTGGCGCAGTGGATAGAGCTCTGGCCTTGGAGTCAGGAGAACCTGAGTTCAAATCCAGCCTCATACACTTGACACTTACTAGATGTGTGACCCTGGGCAAGTCACTTAAACCCGATCGCCTCACCAAAAAATAAATAAATAAATGAATGAATAAAGGTGATTGTGGCACCTCTGTGGAAGATGGATTGGAGGTAGAAACTTGAAGCAGTGATGCCAAGCAGGCGGCTGTAATAGCTACAACAGTCCAGGGGAGAGATAAGGAGGGTCCCAACAAGGGCAATGGGTGTGTAGAAAGAAGGAAGGAATTTAAGAAACATTATGAAGGTGAGGACAAGATTTGGCAACTGCCTGAATAAGTGAGGTCAGGGAGAGAGGGTGTTTAGGACCACAAGACCATAGATTTAGAGCTGGACCTTGAAGACCACCACGTTCAACCTCTTATTTTTATAGATAGGGAAACTGAGGACCAGAGAGGTTAAGTGATTGCCCAAGGTCATACAGCTGGCCAGTATCTGGGGCAGCATTTGAAACCAGACTTTCCTGCCTCCAAGTCTAGGCCCCTGTCTCTCTCTAATAACTTGGGGGTTATGGTAGCTTGGAGGTTCATAGAGCCCACAGCCCAAGCGGGAAGTGAGTTTAGGTGGGAAGATGGGCCCTATTTGGACATGTCAGGTCTGAAATACCAACAGAACAGCAAAACCTGTTAGGCCATCGTCCCCCTGGCTCGCACCAAGGATTCCTTCCATTTGAAGGGGCTCCCAATGGGGGCATAGGCAGGGAAGGGGTGCCCAGTCTTCCCCTCCTGCCAAGTCTCCTCCATTGGCCATCCGGCTAGGGAAAGGCGTCGGTCTGTGCCCACAACAAGGAAATGGAGAGAGGAGGAAGAAAGTCCAGGAGAGGAGCGGGAACCCTTTGGGAGGCTCTGGCTGCTGCCAAGCCTCTTCAGGTTGTTTTCTTTCCTTTGTTTAATCACTTTTGTTTCCTAGGTTCCCGTAAAGCACATGGTCTCACCTGTGACCTGAATATCAACTTCATACCACCCTCCAAGCCAGTCTGCTCCTCCAATGGGAAGACCTGTTTAGGATTAAGGAGCACGCCACCACACCTATTAACCCACACCTGAGCCAGCTTCCTCTCCATCTGGGACCCAACTCCCACCCCCTGGATCCAAGACTCAGTAGGACCAGCAGCGAAATGAGAGCCCCAGTCTTCTTTCTCCTGTTGCTGCTGCTGCTGCCGCCACTGTCTGTTGCCTCCTCCAGCCCCAATCCAGGTAAATGAATTCAGTTTTCCCGTGAGGGAGAAGGCAGCTTCTGGGTGCTACACTAAAAACAGCAGGCACGGTCAAGATTGGGAAGGGGGACTCTAAATTTCTGGACAGTGAGGCTTGGGGTCTGCTGTCCTTGCTAGAAACCAGGGCGCCCACATGCAGGGTTCACTGTCCAGACTGAGCCCTTCTCAATGGCTCCAGCCTCCCAGAGCACACTACCCGGCCTTCTTGGTCTGGGCATGATTCAGGCACAGAACTGGATTGGAACTCAGAGGATCTGGGTTTTCATCCTGAGTCTACTCAAAATTGGCCATTTCCATTCCCCTCTCTCTGGGCCTTTTACCCCATTAGTAAAACCAAGGTACGAGAGACTAGGCATTCTCTCAAGCCAAAGAGGCTCTGCCATTCCGTGTTTTGTGAAGGAAGATAGCGTGGTGGAGTGAAAAAGGGAATAATGTATTTAGCATGAGGCAGCAGAGGCTCCCAGCCCTGATGATTTATCCACTAACTAGGACTATGACCTTGTTCTAAATTTGTTACCCTCACTGAGTCTCATTTTCCTCACCTGCAAAATGTGCACAGGAAAATGGTTGGGGGAGGTAGCTCAAAAAGTCTATGTTTTATATTGTAACGCTGTTACCTTGGACAAGTCATTCATTATGCCTCTTCTGAGCCTGTTTCTTTATCTGAAGCCTGTGGAGGTCTCTACTTTGGTCAAAGGAGGAGGCAACCCACCCTGGCCATCCCATCCCCTGACTATGGCCTCTTTGCGAGGTGAAAAAACAAGGCGGCGTGCTCTTTTCCATCCCTAAGGGGGTCTGCTAAAGTTTAGTTGTGTAGTAAAAAAGTTTTGGAGAGTCAGCAGGGGTTTGGCTGCATCCCCAACTTGGCCACACGCGGTGGCTTCTTATGAGTAATTTGAGAGAATCTGAGTCTAGGTATCATGCCCCTTTTAAGCAGATCTACTCCATTCAGAAAAATACTGGTGCCCCACCATATCCAACAGGAAAGGGCCTACTTCAAGCCCGTCACACTGCACGTGCAATGACTTGCTCATGGTCACACAGTCAGTTTGTAGCAGAACTAGGGAGAGAACTAGGTCTCCTGACTCCCAAGTCCAATATTCAGAATATATGGCAATCAAATCACATTTTAAAAACTCTTTAGTTAATTGAATCAAAGGAGGATAGATTTTGAATCTCAGAGATCCTCTAATTCTGAGGTGTCAAATTTGAAGCCTAGGGCCCAATCAGATTAAAATGTCATTGGGAAAAGTTTAACAAAATAAACAAAAAGGACAATATAATGTAGATAATGTTAATTTGTGATGTTCCAAGGTAATTTGCTCCTGTGGATTCACGGGGTGGGGGTGGGGGGAGAGAATACTGCCCAGGAGGCTGGAAGGCAGAGGGAGTTTCAGTTCTAAGGTGGAAAGAGCCCTAGACAGGAGGGACTGAGGCGTTCTATCAGGTTCTGCTATCAATCACCTGGAAAAGACATTTTCAACCCATCAACCCAGCTTTCTAACCTGTGAAGGGAAAGGTTATATGAAATGATGTCCAAAGTCCCTCCCAGCTCTGACATTCCATAGTCTATGTGCTCTGCTCCCTTCCAACACAGATATTACTGTTCCAAGGCGTCTGAACTGGGAGTTCAGACATACCATTTTCTACGTTCTAAGTTTTCTCCCAACTCTCACATTCTAAGAGTCAAGATGTCTTGTCCAATGTCACACAGAAGTTGTCATAGAGAGACTAGAACCCGGGGCCATGAGGAACAGGCAGGAGGCCAGTGTCGTTGAAATCACAGAGCATGTGGAAAGGAGTAAGGTACAAGGAGACCAGAAAGGTAGGAGGGGGTTAGGTTGTGAGTGGCTTTGAACAGCAAATTGAGGATCTCGTATTTGATTGGAGGTGACTGGAGATTGGGGGGGGGGGGGGGACATGGCAAATCACTTTGGCAGCTGAATGGAAAATGGGCTGGAGCAAGGAGATGGACCAGCAGGTTACCGCAATAATCCAGGTGTGACGTGATGAGGGCCTGTGCCAAGGTAGTGGCAGTGTCAGAGAAGAGAAGGGGCGTATTTGAGATGTTGCAAAGGTAGAATTGACAGAACAGGACAATGATTAGAATTGGGGTGAGAAAGGGGGAGGAGTGCAGGATGACTCCTGTGTTGCCAACCTGAAGAACTGGGAAGATAATGGCACCCTCAATAGTAATAGGGAAGTCAGGAAGAGGGAGTCGGGGAGGAGGAGAGAGACGACCAGTTTTAGACATGTTGACTTTAAGACGTCAATGTGAATGCTGCACATTGCACATACTTTGAGACTTTTTCAATATATTAATGAGGTATTTAGATTTTTTTTCCCCCTCATTTTCTTCTTTTTTGGTCTTGAAAATACTATTTGTTATACAAAATGACTCCGGGAGGCGGGAAGCTATGGTGATGTTTAAAAAAAACAAAATCCTGTATATAAACAAATTTTTTTAAAAAACACGGCTATTGGGCATCCAGTTTGAGATGTCCAATAGGCAGTTGGAGATGTAAGACTGGAGGTCAGGAGAGGTTAGAGTTGGACAAGCAGATCTGAATCATCTGCAAAGAGATGAGAATTGAATCCATGGGATGAGGTCACCAAGTGAAATAGTACAGAGAGAAGAGGATCCAGGCCAGAGTCCTGGGCCAGATCCTCTGGGACACAGATGAAGATCTAACAAAGGAAAGAAGGGAAAAAAAAATCACACAGGGAAGAGAAGAACCAGGCTGAAGCAGTGTCCTGAAAACCTAGAGAAAGAAAGTATCAAAAAGCAGAATGATTGACCGTGTCAAAGGCTGCAGAGAGATCAGGAAAGGTGAAGGTTGACATTTTAGAGATTTCTCAGTTGATGACTTTGGAGAAGGTACTTTCACTGGAATGATGAGATTGGAAGCCAAAAGAAGAAAGTGAGAGGAAAGGGAGTGGAAGCATGGATTGTGGACAACCTTCCCAAGAAGCTCAGCCACAAAAGGGAGGAGGAAAGCGGTGATCTGGAGGGAGATAAACAGATCAAGTAAGGGTTTACCAGAGGATGAGGGAGACATGGCAATGTCTGTAGGCAGCAGAGAAGTAGCCAACAGACAGGGAGATTGAAGATTAATGAAAGTGGGGAGGATAGAGAGGACAATCTGCTGCAGAAGACAGAATGTAATGGTCTCACTTGGGCATGAAGAGGGGTTTGCTTTGACCAGAAGATGGGCCATGTCCTCACGTGAGACAAGGGTGAAGTAGGAGAGAGAGACACAAGGCATCTGAGTGATGTAAGCTCTGGAAGCTCTGGTTTCCAGAAGCCAAAAACAGAATGGCCTCAATTTTATATTTTTTTATTCTGATATATTTTCATTTTGTCAAATTTTTCCCAATTATATTTTTAAAAATTTTTAAATTCATTTTTTAAAATTTTGAATTCCAAATTATCTCCCTCCCTCCCACCCCCTTCCACCCCTTGAGAAGTCAAGCAGTATGATAGGAATGATACCTGTGAAGTTATGCAAAACATATTTCCATATTAGCCGCATTGCAAATGAAAATATAGACAAAAAAAAAGAACAATAAAAGTTTAAAAAGTATGCTTTCAGAGCATGCATTCAGAGTTCATCAGTTCTCACTGGGGAGGAGGAGAGCATTTTTTCACTACGGGTCCTTTGGAATTCTCTGGATCTTTGTGTTGCTCAGAATAGCCAAGGCTTTCACAGCTGACGGTCTCCATGTTTTAAGTGAAGCACGAGATGAGCTTCTCATCCAGAGGGTGAGGGAAGGTGGGGGCGGGTTGGCCCTGTGGAAGGTTTAAAGAGGATGAAAAGGTTTACAAGACTCACTGTGCTGAATGGGATCATGAAGCAATTAGTGAGGTGTAAAAGGACCAGTCTTGCCAAAGTAAACACAGTGAGATTAAGTGAGATAAGACAATGAGTCTCACCTTCTCAAATGACTGGGGAAACAAGTACTCAGAAAGGGGACAGGTTTGCCTGAAGTCACCAAGTAAGCTAGTCTATCCAGATGCTAGCATAGGGATTGGGCTTGGGGAAAGAGAGCCAGGAAGGGACCTAAGGGGCCCTCTCTCCCCCAGCCCATCTGACAGAGCAGCCTTGCTACTACACCTCCAGCAAGTGGTGCCCCAGCCTCTGCTGGTATGGCTCCAGCCAACAGGACTCCCCAGGGCCTTGACCGACAGGGTGTGCCCCTGGCCAGAAAGGCTGGTTCTCTTGCCCTCGCTGCCTTCCTTCCAGCTGCTTTGCTGAGGGATTTGGCCCAATATCAGCCTCTGTCTCCAGGACCAACTTTTCAGGCTAGGATCCTGGGGCTACTTATGCCCCCAGTTGTCAGAGAGAGACAGAGAGTCATGGCATCACAAAGAAGAGAACAAGGCAGCCCTGGGTGAGGGGAAGGCATCAGAGAGAGGCCAAAGTGGGAAGGGGAGAGCGGTCCAGATACGGGGCAAAGGGACGGGTTATTTTTCTATATTAGAATTTTAGACTCGGCTTCTAGGTGGCCCAACAGCTTGAGAGATTAAAGGGAAGTCCTTGTTTACCAATCTCCTCCTTATTCCTTAATGAGGCATTTATGGTCAGAGGAAGAGATTTGGGATCTTTAAAGTCTACCAATCTAGAGAAAAATACAATCCCCATCTCCTCCTCGATGCAGACTGTAAAGTCAAATTTCTCATCTCCAAAACTGAGCAGCCTAACCTCCCTGCAATAGGAGAGGAGGTAAAATAATAACAGACACTGACAAGAGTGGCTTAGAACTTCAAAGATATCTTTTCTCTATTATCTTCTTTGATCCCGACACTCACACTCTGATATGGAGGGAGGGTGCAAGTTTTATTTTTCCATTTTAAGGACAGGGAAACTACGGGGCAGCTAGGTGGTGCAGCGGATAGAGCACCCGCCCTGGATTCAGGAGGACCTGAGTTCAAATCCGACCTCAGACACATAACACTAACTGTGTGACCCTGGGCAAGTCACTTAACCCCACTAACTAGCCAAAAAAAAAAAAAAAAAAAAAAAAGGATAGGGAAACTGCTAGCTTAATAAAGTGGATTAGCTTGGCCACGATCACACAGCCAGATGGGGCTAAATTTGAACCCAAGGCTCCACACTCCAAATTGAGTGCATTTTCCAGGTTCTGGTAATCTCCTTATCAAATGCACTGAAAAGCGACCTCTGTTCCCTTCCCACAGAGGATGCTGAAGGCCAGAGGAACCACAAACTGCCTGCAAAGAGGCATGCCAGGGGTGGAAGGCAGGTGTGTCGGTGCCAAGGTCAGTGATGTCACTTATATCCACGCCATCATCTCGGGTCTTCCCCCTTGGGCCCTTAACACTGGGGGACAGGGGAGAGACGCTGTCTCATCAACACCCTTTCCCTTTCCTCCCACTGGTGCAATTGGCTACTATGCTCCCATTTCTGTTCCCAAGGAGCAGAGTCCCAGGCAGTGTTGGGCAATATCCCCAGCATCACAGAATCTCAAGTCAGACTAACGTATGGCCCACATATACCTGCACAGGAATCCCATTAACAACAGCCCCAGAGGACACGTGACCACTCAGTCTTTGTCTGAAAACTTCCAGTGATGAGGCACCAGCCAAGCCGCATGCTCTTCTTGCACTCTGGAAGAGCCACGGTCGTCAGGCAGATTCTCAGCTTCGTGTAGTAGGGAGAAAGGTCCTCTCTGCACCTTTCCCCATTACTTCTAGGCTTGTCCTAGGGACTCAGAGAGCCCAAGTCTACCCTACATCGTCAATGGGCGAGTGAATAAACGAGAAAGTGTGTTAAGTGTTTGTTCCAGGGCAGGTCCACTGTTTGGCACTGGGGACACAAGTACAGAGGCTGCAAGGGTAGGTCATGACCTCAAGCGCTTGGCTGAGGAGTCTCCATTCTCTCCCACGGGCACCAGGCAACCCTGATAGACTTCTGGGCCAGGGATAATAAGGTGAGAGCAATGAATCAGGAAAACCGGGGAGCTGTGTGATGGCTGGATCCAAGCAGTCAGAAAGAAACTAAAGGGCTGGAGGCCAATTACGAAGCAGTGAGTTACAAGGCTCTCCAAAGACCAGGCCCTGAAGAAGCTGTTATTTTACAAGAGGCATAGTCAATAGAGCCTGGAGTCAGGCAGACCTGAGTTCAAATCCAGCGTCAGATGCTTATGAGTTGTGTGACCCTAGGCAAGTCACTTAACCTGTCTGCCTCACCTTACTCATCTGAAATGGTCAGATGAGAATACCAACACCTACCTGTCAGGGAAGATTAAATGAGACCAATGCCCAGTATACAGTAGGTGCTATATTAAAGCTTCTTCCCTTCCCCTCCACCCCAGCAGGAGAGGGGTGGCCAAGGAAGGGTTGTTTTGGTCTGGAAAGCCCAGGGAATGCTGAGCAATTAGTGGGACAGGCCGATGACGTCCCACTTCCAGAAACGAGGGAGAACTGGTATGGTCGTCGTCTCCAGGCAGGCAGTGGAGGGGAGGTGGCTGGGGCGCCACCTGGGCTGAGGCAGCTCCTCAGGGCCCAGTCTCTGAAGGTCCTCAGAGCAGCCTCCCTCTTGGCCTCCGACCTCTGCTCCCCAGCCTTCACACTGCTCCCCACATTTTCTTAATCCAACGTGAATTAAGAATCTATCACTACCGGCTCAAAAGCCTCCAAGGGTCCCCCAGTAGCTGAAGGAGAAGAGAAAACCTCCTGTCAAGTACTTTGGTCCTTTCCAGCCTCATTTCACTCTGTTCTCTTTCCCGCACTCTGGGTTCCAACCAGTCCAGGCTAGACCAGGGCAGACAACCAGTTCTAACTCCATCTCATCCTACGCTCTCCTGGCTTCAGGCGGGGTCCATTCCTTCACGAGATCTGGAAAGCATTCCCTCTCATCTCTGCCCACTCAAAGTCTACTTTTGCTTCAACGCCCAGCTCCTAGCTGCTTCCCCACCCCAGTGCCAGTGGCTTCTTTTCCTCCATTTCTGAGAGTAGCTTATCCTGGATTCTCCTGTCTACCACACAGCCCGCTTATCTTCCTATGTCTCTCTCCCCATTACATTACCCATTCTTTTTATTTAGGATCCTCTGTACCTAGTTCAATGCCTTGCAAATCAGATGTGCTTAATAAATGTTTGCTGAATTTGAATCTGATTGATGACTTTTGGACAAAGCACAAGGTCCCCACGATAATCACTCTAGAATTTTAAAGAACCTAATGTTGAAAAACATGGTCTTCTCCTCGTGACCCTTTAAGCCACTGAAGACAGTGCTTGCGCCCCCTGTAGACAGCTGTCTCTTCACCAGGTGAAACGCCCCCTCGTTCTTTCTACGGATCCTTCTAAGCCGCCCTGAAATGCTTTGAGAGCCAGCAAAGGTCCAAGGAGCCCAGCTCTGGGGAAGGCTCTCCCTTCCCTGCCTCAGAGGCAAAGTGATGATGCTAACGCCTACACTACCTTCTGCAGTTATTCAAGTCGGCAAGCATTTATTAAGCGTCTACTATGGGCCGGGCACCATGCCACGGTCTAACAGGGGAGACGGCACATAACCAACTACATACTAACAAGCTTTATACGGGCTAAATTGGAAATAATTAACAGAGAGAAGGCCCCTCTCATAGTAAGGGCTTCTCATAGACAGTGAGATTTAGGCTGGGCCTGGGAGGCAGCCAGTGAAGACACCCAGAGTCTGGAGATGGGTAGTTCTGTGTGAAGAGCAGCCAGGAGGCAGGACCATGGTGAGGAAAGAACCGAGTGAGCCCTAAAGTCCCTTCTAGCTACAAATCCCTGGTGCCACATAAATGGGCACCGTGTAAACTTGGCCAGCGTCCTCTCTGCAAGCTTCAGTTTCCCCATCTGCAATATGAGTGGATAGACGAGCCCTGAGGGCCCTCCAGCTCCAAATCTCGGGGATCCTTTTATCAGTCATCCTTCTCCTGAATCTGAGGTGGGAAATGGGGGTATTTCAGATGTCTTCCAGAACATTCATGGAGGAAAGAGAGTACAGAGAGCCAAGCCACCTGCAAGACAGTGCCCATGTGACCGCCTTAAATACAAACAGAAAAAACCAGGTAAGTTGTCAGAGAAGGCACCGATCTAAATGAACAAGGCCATTTGGGAGGGAGGGAGAGTAAATACAGGAGAGTTAGGACTGAGCCCAAGACAGAGGACCTCTGTCTAGTCACACACTCAAAGAGCTCAGAGACCTTATCGAGTCTATCCCTCAGGGAGAAACTGAGGCCCAGCAAAGTGTGGTGGTTTGTCAGAGATCACACCCTAGTTGACGGACAGCTGTGATGGGAACTTGGGTGCTTTGACCGCAAAGCTTTCTCCTCCCTATACTGCCCAGGCCCCGCCCGGGCCACGTCCAAGCAGGGGGTTGGCGGGGGGGAGAGGAAGGAAGGAAGGAAGATGCCCACTTTGGCTAACTTTGCATCCTCCCCACGCGGGGGAGGTGGTGACACCCTGAACATCCGTCACTGTCACAAACTTCTGACACCCCTCCTGTAGGACTATGGACTTCCCATCTGACTGTTCTGAGCCTCAGTTTCTCCTCTGTCAATGAGGATAATAATCATCCTGAGCCCTAGGAAGGAAGCAGTCTTCTTTAGAGCACAGCGATATGGCCAGAGGGCATCAGAGAGCTGCAAAAACAACACACCCAGGGGTCAAGTCCCAGCTCTGGCCCTCCCAAGGCCTGTGACCATCTTGGGTGGCCACCTCCCAGAGGCTGCTGGGGAGAGTAAAAGCACACCCCACCCCCCAGCCTCCTTCACAGGGCTGTCCTGAGAAGGGCTTCACACAGCTCCAAATGTTAGGGAATCTTGAGGAATTCTGATTCAAAACCACCAGGACGACCTTGGCACAATACTGAGTGTCACTAAAACTTTGCTGCTTCTAAATATCATGTGTGTCCTGGATGCCTTGGGCAGTCTGGTGAAGGCGGTGGGGCCCTTCTCAGAATCATGCTTTGTAATGTGCAAAATAAAGGACACACGATTACAGTGGAAACCCATTATGTTGAAATAGTTATTAAGATACTAAAACAAAACAACAAAGTTCCTGGACCCCCTGTGAAGAATCCCTGGGCTAAATGAATGGGTGGGGACAATCAGCTATGTGGGCCAGAACACATCTCTGTAGTGACTCCAGCTTCCCTCCTCACAAAAGCCCTGTGAGGTCCAGGGTACTCCTGTACTTGACAGCTAGAGAAACCAAGGCTCAGAAAGGGTGGTGTCCTGACCCCAGGTGACACAAGAAGTGTGAGGGCCAGGATTCAAACCTCGGTCTTCCCAGATTCTTTCTACCACATCGTCCTGTAAGCTTTGAAGACAGCTCTCCTTGGGGCTACTCCCCCCAACTCCCACTAAACGAGGTATGGAGAACCTTGGGCAGCCCTGGGAAGGGCACTTAGAAACCCTGCCCCTACACATCAGGTGACCCTTGACCCTCAAGGGGCATGGCGGAAAGACATGACAAGCCTGTCCTACATTCCCAGCCGGAAGGCTTGGAGTACAGGCCCAATGATGGTATGTGACCATTGTCAGAGGACGGCCTAATTTAGGGCAGAGGGTCATAAACAGAAGGCCACCCTGGTCGAGGTGATGAAATATAACATTTATTAAGTGCCTATTATATACAATGCCTTAGGCTAGGCAGAAGACTCAAAGATGAAAAATTCCACAAACCTTGCCTTTTACAGGTGGGGGAAGGATGGCCTGTGCGCAAATACAGATGCTACAATGGCGGAATATAAGAGGGGAAGGGTGGCCAAGCAGAGCCACACAGAGGCAGTGACAGACTCGCTCTCCTGGCAAGGGGGGGAGAAAGGAGGGAGTGGCTGGTCCCAAGAAGGGGGTGCCATCTAGGCTGAGCCTCGAAGGGGGGAGTGTGGTCTAAGCAAAATCGTAGGGATGGACAAGAACAAATGATGGAGAGTCATCCAGGATGACTAGAATGGAAGGAGGAAGGGAGAGGGAATGAGCATCTTTGTAAGTGCCTACTATGTGCCAGGCATTGTGCTGAGTGGTTTTTTTTTTTTAACAAATGTCATCTCATTTAATCCTCACAACCACCTGGGAGGTAGGTGCCATTATTATCATCATCGCCATTCTACATCCAAGGAAGCTGAGGCAATCAGAGGTTAAGTGACTCGTCCAGGGTCACACAGGTAGCGTCTGAAGCCAGACGGGAACTCAGGTTTTCCTGACTCTGGACTCAGCACTCTACACACTGAGCCACCAGTTGCTTCATGAAGGGCAGGAGAATGAGATAAAGCTGGAGAGGCAGGCATTCAGGTGAATGCCAGAGGAGCACGCTAAACCATCCAGTAAGATAGTGAAGGAGTAGCTAACTGCATCAGTGGAGGGAACATCCTCACACACAGAAAGACCCCGGGGTTTGGGGTGAGAGGCCCTAAGTTCAAACGCTGGCTCCAGCGCTTAGCGCCATTGTGGTCTTGGGCTGGTCACTTAATGCTGAAGGCCTCTGTTTCCTTCTCTATAAAACCCAGGGCTCTGAACCTGGGTGAGGTCGGATGGAAGCCCAGCTTTCCTGGCGTCCAACCCCATGTTCTTTCCAAGCCTCAGATCCAGTTCTTGGGCCTAACTAACCTGGTGTCTCTGGCCTTTCTAGGCTTAGGGCATCGGACGCACTGGAGACGAAGCTGCCTCGGGTTTCTGAAGCAATGTCAGCTGCGGGACATCACTCTACCTTTGTAAAAGCGTGGTCCTATCTGAAGGGCAGCAAGGCCAGCTCTCAAGAGGGCTTTAATTCAGAAACTACCCCAGGGTCACGTGGACTGCAGGAGCTCCTTGGTCCGATCCCTCTGGGAAGCAAGCACCTGACCTCTAGTCCCTGTCTCTGCCCACCCTCTCACAGGTCCAAGTTGGGACCGGGAGAGAGGATGAACCAGTCCCTACAATCCCTAATCACCAGGGAAACTTGTCTCCCCAGGCCTTCAGCCTGCCTGAACATCACCACACCAGCAACATGTAGCACCCGGGGTCTTCAATAAAGACGAAAATATTTCACCAGTGGAAGTGGTTGGGTTAGGTTCCCAAGGCCCTGGCAGCTCCCACTTAGCCCAAAGTCGCCTGCCCGAACCCCTGAGGCCACTGAAGCCAATTCAATTCCCCAGACACTGGGAAGCCATCAGATCTGAGAGGGGCCTTAGCAACCATCAACTCCTACCTTGTCATTTAAGAAGGAAGCAGCTCGGACCCAGAAAGGGCCAGTAAGTGGCCTAAGTTTTCTCCAAGCCACAGCCCTCTGGAGGACGCTACGACCGAACAAACAAGCAGTCATTGGTTCTCTGGCATCTGGGTGGGTTTTAAAGGATGCACAGCAGAGCGAAAGGGTGCACGGCCACAGTGCATTGAGAACCATCCGCCTCAAAGTCAAGGAGACCCAGGGCCCAGCTCTTGTGAGGCAGGTCTGGGCTTTGTGAGCTCCAGAGGAAAGCACTTAGCCTTCTCTCAGGCCCTCGGACAACTCTTCAGAGCTAGGAATGACTGAGTCGAGCTGATCTGAATTGGTATAGGGAGTTTATTCACCAGGATTTCCTGACACCAGTAAAATCACAGGCCTGTTCCAAAAATCCCAGTAATAAACTACCCATTTGTATGGCACCTTCAGGACCACAAAGCCCTTGGCATGGGGCACTATGGCAAAGGCTAGAAGCAGGAAGGTCGTAGTAGCAGGGTCATGGCTAAGGGCACAGAGACAGGCCCACATATCTGCCAAAGATGCTGTGGAGGTGAGATCATCTACAGTAATGGTTTGGCTATGAGCGGTAAGAGACAAATCAGTGACCCCAACCAAGGCAATACCAAGGAAACACAGCTGCCCCACATGGAAACAGGAGAAGCAGCTGGCTTAAACAGAAAGGTCATGGGCCCAGTCGATCTGGGGCATGTGGAGTCTGTGGTGTTGGCACCACCAGGTACAGAGTTCCATGGGCAGCTGAGGGTGGGAATCTGGGGATCAGGAGAGAAGAAATGACTGGTGACCCACATCTGAGAACCACTCGGCACTGCCGAAGTTATCCAGCTCAGTTAGATTGCCAAGAGAATGAATGAATGAAGCGCTTATTAAGGGCTAGCTAAACGCCAAGGACTGGGCTAAGTGCTAAGGATAGAAAGAAAAAAAGGAACAGCCCCTGCCCCCCAAAAGGAGCTCTTGCTCCAACTGGGGGTAACAACACATGGAGGTGCAGGATAGATGGACAGAAAGGCCCTGAGTCCTACAGGGGCAGCAAAGGGACACATGACAAAGATCTTTAGGGAGCATCATCCAGTCGGAGGGATGGCCATGGGGGAATGGGGACCAGAGGGCAAGCAGCAGGGTAGACAGCAAGGCTCAGAGCACCTGGGATGGGTGGTAAGGCCTGGTGCTCAGTCACCAGTCTTGTCAATTCCTGGCTCACCAAGTGATATAAGCAGCCACATCACCTCTCCAGCCAGTGTTCCCAAATTGAGTCTAGGCAGCCCTGGCTTCTTCAGGGAGGGCACCCCTCCCTCTAGAGACATTCCCAAGGACCCAAAGCTGCCCAGGGGTTAGAGAAGAGGTGAAGAAGGACAGACCCTTGGGAAATAAGAGAGGTGTGATGTCAGAAAATCATTCAAACCCCAACTCAGCCACTTACCTGTGTGACCTTGGCAAAGTCCCTTCACCTTCTCTGGGCCTCAGTTTCCTCTTCTGTTCAATGAGCAGGTGGGACTCCCTTCCCGCTCTAAATTCTGTGGTCCTAGGGGTCTGGAGAGGGAGGGTGAGAACCAGGAGAAAATGGAAGCTCTAAAGGTAGAAAAGGGCATCCTCTGGGAAAGGAGGAGCATCTCTCTCTGTGACAAGCACCCTTTCCTCAAACACTGAGACATTTTTCCAGAACAAGGGCCTTTGTTACAAGGTCCAGGACTCTGTCTCTGAAAGACCATAAAAAGCAGGGGACCAAGTTAGGATGCCTGCCTTGGGGGAGGAGACAGGGTCCCCTGAATGGGTGAGGGGGTGGGGCCCTGTCTATGACACAAGAAGCCAAGCCCCTCCCCTACTAGGGGAGGGCCAGGGGCACAGGCCCCTCCTTTCCTCACCCCAGTGGAAAGGACAGAGGGGGCATCACTGGGCACAGCAGAAGGGGCCAAGTGCTGAACACACACACCAGCCAGGCTCACGTGTGGGGAATCGGAGATGCCAGGATGAAGGAACGCGTGGAAATCTAAGAGATGCATGGACATGAGGAGCCAGTGAGAGATCTGTAAAAGGGGTGACCTGGGGGGTCAGAAGGATGGAGGCTGGGCTAGCAACATCTTCCATAACAAAGGAGGAGCAGGGGCCTAGACTGCAGCAGCGACCTGCCTCTGAACAAGGACCAAGATCACACAAGGGACCTGCCTCCAAGCAGGGACCTAGATCACAGCAGGAAACTTCATTAGAGCAAGAACCTGCCACTGAGAATGAACTTGTACACCAGCAGAGCTCAGCATCGGAGCAGACCCCCACAGCACAGCTGGGACCATGTACCCCTGAGCAGACCCCTATACCACAGCTAGGACCACATGCCCCTGAG